AATGAGTATACTCTACAGTATAATTTTATACTATACTCAATAACTGATCAATACGCATACTTGATACCACATCTCCCCAAAATTTGTAGTAGACATACTATACGGAAATAATCGATCGTATGACGAATCTCTAACAAATATCTGATTTCTTTGAAGTTTCATCAACGAATTATATAAATTTATTACTTGATAGTTATATTGTATATACAGAATAAAAACAAGATCTTGTAATGATTAAAAGCCTATTATAATCATTATAATCGTTATAAAAAAATAGATCAGTTATTCACATTTATATATGTTGAACATCGGAATGGAATCATGGTAGAATTAAAATTAACTTTAAGTTGAAAGCAAATATTAAATCCACTCAATTAATTAAAGAATTTTGAACTAACTTAAAGTTAATTACGAATCCACTTAGTGTATTCAATTTTAAAATTAAAATCATTTAAATTTAAATCAATTTAAACAGCAATACATCGCAAAGCTATTTATTCATATATTCTACCTAGCTTAAATATTTTTTGGCAGAAATAGAAGTTGTAAATTCATTATTTTAACACATTCGATTTAGTACCTTTTGTAGGAATATAAATTGTACATTCATCGTGTTGTAAGAATTTGATTGTTTATTATTAAATTTTGGTTCTTTTTTGGCCCGATAAATTTACTAGATCAAGAAGAAATTTAAAATTTGCATTAAATTCAATATTATAAGAATTATTACATGATTCTAAAAAATTAATTTGTTTACTACTAAAAGAATCGTGAAATTTCAAAGTAAAAGCATAAGGAGCTTTAGTACAATTTTTTTGTTAGAAGTTTCTTTTTTTACAGTTACAAGTTTTAGAAGTTGTACAAAAAAGACACTGTGCATCCAAAGTATGTTCTGTGATATTAATTTTGGGGATTTTTTTTTTAAAAAAAAATGTATACTAAATAAATATATAATATACATACATTATCAGAAGTAACGTTAAAGAAATCAGAAATCATCGATTTTTTTTTAACTGTCACATAATTTTGCAAATCAAATGATCAAAAATTTTCGCCCACCATCATTATTCCGGAGTATGACCACGGAACTTGAAATATTCGAAAATTATTGCCAATGACAAAATTTCATTTGATGACCAGGGCTACCATCTATAATAATAATTTTGCCGTGCCCGTGAAGGTTTTTAGATGCAGTGTGGTATAATCCTCCCAGGCATCTTTTAGGTTTCTCAAAAGAAGTTGCGTTTTAACATAACTTATTATGAAAAGATAATAAATTAAAAATTGAAGACACAATGATAAAAATAAGAAACTACCAAAAATTACCTGGAAACTAATGAGCCCTCATCTAGCACCACACATATTCGAATATTAAGGTATTGGCGTTAATTTTTTGTTTGAGACATTTTTTTAAATTTTATAATCGAATTGTTTGATGGAACTTTTCTTTTTTTTATTATTCTTTGATCATTATTAATTTATCTGATTCATTTTCTTGTTCTTTCTTCGGTTAGTAATTTTGAAATTCGTGGTTGTATGTAAAAAAGCTATATGATTAAATTTAGATCGGATGCTAACAGCAGAAGCATGTTGATTGATGCATCTAATTATATTACGATAAGAAAAATTTTATAATTTATTTTGAAAAATTATTTTTGGTTTTTTTTAAATCACCCTTCGAAATTTAGACCAGAATATCTGTGCTTATTTATATGTAAATTATCATATGGGGTTTTTGCCTTGAAAATCACGTTATGGAACATATGATTTACTATGTCCCATAACGTGATTTTCAAGGCAAAGACCCCACATACTCTTATTGATAAAAGATAAAATAGTTTATTAAATGGACTAAAGGTAAAAGATAATTTACATATAAATAAGTTCCGATACTCTGGCCTAGGTTTTTTTGAATCAGCCCGATCGGAAAATCTCGAAGGGTGATTTTGTTAGCAAAGATCCCAGATTTTCCCCTCATGACTGATTTATTTCCCAGCTATTAAAATATCCGCAGTTTAGCCCTAACGACGCTATTCCCGTTAGAGATGTTGTGACGTTCACCCCGCAATATCAAAAATAATCACAAGTGTGCCAGATCTACGTACACACAATGTTACGTAATGTATTTAGAAGATAAAATCATTTGTAAATCATAAAAATCGATTTAACATCTCTATACACACAATCCGTCCGGTCATTCATGACGTACGTACGTACGTATTTAATTTATTAATTTTGTTTTATTAATATTATTGATTTTATTAATATTGTTTGATTTTGTTAACGTTAATATTGTTTATTTTGTTAATATTGTTTTGTTACACAATAAGAGCGTATGATACAGTAAGTAATACTTACACTACGTAAAATTTATTTTTATAGTCCAAAAGATAAAGCTATTCCAAAGTTCTATATTCAACTATATATTTAAAAACGCATATCAACATTTTAAGAGACCATGTACCGTACAACGTAGACTAAAATATCCAGGGTACTTTACGAGTTATCTAAATATAGAGCTATTATAATCAATACTATGGTTAGCGCAGGAGATATTGGTTGCACTATATAAGTGTCGCCAAGGGAAACTTGTCATTAGACTTTCAATTATAATTACGTATCGATTTAATATATGTTTTTAAGCTCTAAAATTTGTGAGGGGTGTTATAAAAGGGGGTCTTTTGGTCCATGCTGTACGGTAATTTTCAAAATTTGAGTTTACGTATTCACTTACATTGACGTAGCTCAACGTTTATCAGTTATTAACTAGGATTTTATTAACGTTAATAAATAATACGTATAACAAATTATTGATACGTACAATGTGCTTGACAAATTTCAAATCTAGTACGTACGTATGGACGTAACGGTAACAAATATATATATTTAATTTGGAAATAAGCTCCTATCGATGTTATCGATATAAGATCAGTACATATTTTTAGAAAATTTGAATTGTTTTTCATCGGTTGAGATAGTGAGATAACCGTATAAATTATTAAAGTTTTTTTTTTTCTTACTTGTTTTGTGCAATAAAGAAAATTGATGGCGATTTTACGACGGAGTAAATTCCATTTTTGAGATATAGGCTATGCAGGGGCTGACGCAAAGGACAAAACCTATATTAGAAATAAACTGGTTTCTTTAAGTATTACGTACGTACGTGCGTAGATTAGTGAAGTATTAGTAGAATCGTTCCAATGATGCTACAGATTAAGTCGTAACTAGCTAAAGCGACAGTTAATGGGACGATTCTACTGCATCATTAACGTAAATTTATTAAGCCAGTTTTTAAAAAATGGGACGTACGTACGATAAAACGTACGATAAATACGTATACTGTTTTATGTTGTTAATAAATATGTAATTTATAAATTCAAAACGATATTGGTTTATTTTATGTCATGTATTAATACGTGTAACTATTGTATATATTGTTGTTAAATCTATTGTTACTAAGTATAATATTAAACTCCGAAGTATTTTAATAATAAGTAATGAATAGAAATAGTTTAATTTAGTTTAAATTATATATATTATTTATTGTATATAATAATATATATTATATATAATAATATATATTATATATATAATAAATACTTTTTTAAAATATATAGTATATATATACTATACATTATAGTACTGTATAAATAGTATATTATATTTTATAGTACTATATAAATAGTATATAAAATATATTGTTTATAATTGTATGACAAATCATTTCTAAAAATGATCAATATACCAATTTATTTCTAAAAATGAAACAATACTAAATTTTCGTAAAAAAATTTAAAATTTATAGATCATCTAAATTTTGCTTTTTAAAATTAAAATTTTCAGCCTTAAAAATTCAAAGTATTACATATTGTTTAAATTATATATTTATACAATTAATCATTTTTGATTAAAAAAAAAACTTTTTTTTACATTTTTTTTATATTTTTCTTAAAACCAATTTCTATGCTTAATATTAAAATCATTTCAGGAGGTTTGCCAGGTGTGGAATATGCAGCATTAAGAGCTGCCAAGAAAAGAAAACTTAAAACTGGTGGCCATTGTACAGAATTTTCTGAAAATGAAAATAATGATATTTTATTACAAGATTATAATCTTGTAAAGTTACAAGCTAATTCACTTACTGAAAAAAATCAAGAAAATATTGACAATGATTCACATGCAGAGAAAAATCAAGAAACCACCAATACTGATTCATATACAAAAATAATTCAAAAAAATATTGATGAATCAGATGCAACATTAATATTTGAAATAACAAATATTAAATGTGATTATGCACAAATAATTCCCTATATTGGGGAAAAGAAACTAATTATAATTTATCTTAAAGAAAGTAAAGACAATTCTCAAGAAAGTAAAGACAATTCTCAAGAAAGTAAAGACAATTCTCAAGAAAGTAAAGATAATTCTCAAGAAAGTAAAGATAATTCTCAAGAAAGTAAAGATAATTCTCAAGAAAGTAAAGATAATTCTCAAGAAAGTAAAGATAATTCTCAAGAAAGTAAAGATAATTCTCAAGAAAG